ATCTTAAAGGGCTTTTCCAACCTAAACAATTCTATGATTTTTTGGGACCAATCCCACTTACTATTTTAATTAATGACCTTGACACCATGATTAGGATTTACGCTACTGAAGATCCTGATGGCAATGTTTGAAGACACTGAATATATCAGAGGAATGCTACAACTGCAGACTAAGATCAGCTCATTTTACCAAAAAAAGAAAGTCTGGTGTCAAGTACAGGGCTGCCATTCTGTCCTGGTTTCGGCTGGGATAGAGTTAATTTTCTTTCTAGCAGCAGGCATAGTGCTGTGTTTTGGATTTAGTAGGAGAATGTTGATAACACGCTGATGTTTTTAGTTGTTGCTGAGTACTGCTTATGCCAGTCAAGGACTTTTTTCAGCTTCCCCTGCTCTGCCAGGGGCACAAGCAGCTGGGAGGGGGCACAGCCGGAAGAGTTGATCCCAACTGGCCCAAGGGCCATTCCATACCATACGGCGTCATGGGCAGTATAGAAACTGGGGGGGTTGGCCGGGGAGCAGCGATCGCTGCTGGGAACTGGCTGGGCATCGGTTGGCGGGTGGTGAGCAATTGCATTGTGCATCACTTGCTTCATGTATCATTATTATTATTATCATTATTATACTGTTACTATTAGCATTACTATTTCACTTTATTTCAATTATGAAAGTGTTCTTATCTCAGCCCAGGAGTGTTTCTCACTCTCACTCCCCCGATTCTCTCCCCCATCCCCCCGGGGCAGGGGCAGTGAGCGATGGCTGCGTGGTGCTGAGCTGCTGCCTGGGGCTGAACCACAACACATTCACAGGCATGTTCAGCTGGAGTTTACTCATTAGAAACAATTGAAGAGCCGAGCTCCTTGTCAGAAGAGCAACTGCATGGCAGCACTGCATGAAAAAGGAAAATACAATCTCATGATATGCAGGAGGATGCTGTGTGGAGCACTGGTAGCAGTTTCTAACGCTTTGAATGTTGTGTTAGGATAGCAAGGAAGCTTCACTTAAGCCAGCATTACAGATCCACCAGCAGAATATCCCAGCTTACACCCGGTGAATTTGGTGCAGTTCCCTCCAGTAAATACCACCATGGGAGAAGAAATTCTTGCATTTAGAATCGAGTAAGAGCATGTCTATGATGGCTGTTCGAATAGATGGCATGCTAAGGTTCAGGTCACAGCTTGAGGAAGCTATAGCGTGTACCTATATTCTCAAATATAAGAAAATAAAATCCCCAGTACTAGGATCACCCCAGGAACATTACACCAGTCTGTCACCCCAGAGAAGACTGCAGGAGCCGTTCGGAAGCAGAGAAATGGCCTGGCCATCACCATACTCCAAGTCCCACCCCCATCTCTTTCCTTCTAGCAAACTTTTTTTTTTTTTCCTGTGGTAAAGGCGTATTTTCCTTCTGGAAACCAAGGGCCATACTTTCCCTCAGTGCATCACTACTGGTGTCACATATAGGAGTGTTTCAAAGCAGCCCCAAATAACTAATGCCCAAGTCATTTTGTGGTATAAAGTAAGCCAAACTAACCATAAATAAGAAATACCTTTATTAAAGAATTCCAGTTTCAGATGTTTCTGCATAGAACAATTTCTTTTGCATTACCTTTTAGAACATTGTTTTGCATAACAAAGTAATGAATATTAGCCTCTTCCCACTAGAATTTTAAACCCAAAGGATGTACTTGTTTTATTGATTACATATATGTATCATAGATTTTTTTTTATCTCAGTAAAGCACAGAGCAAAATGCAAGTTGTCAGATGAATGCTATTTTCTGTTAAATAGCAGCGTCTCAAATCAAAGGTTTCTTCTGAAGTTACGACGTGAAACACTTTTCTGCTCTTTATTAGTGGGGAATTTAAGTGACATACCTGGAAAACGCTTCCACAACCTTATATTCTCAGTGACATTAATTGCAAAGTGGATGTTGTCTTCAGTGCACGGGAGAGCAGGCCCTAGAGTTGTACTCTTTCCTTTTTAAGGAGAGCAAAAGCATCCTTCAGACCCAGGGTTCTGGCAGACACCTCAGGCCAGCACAACTGCGAGCATCGCGCCGTTCCGGCCCGGCCTTCTGCCAGAGCGTGCTGCCCCCCACCACCCACCTACCTCGACGCTCGTAGAATGGGTCAACAGCATAAACTTAGTGCCGCTAGAATTTGCTCTAATAATAGGAAGAGACCGTTGCATTAAACAAGCAAATAAACAATTGTCCTTCCCTTGTCAGACTTCAACAAAAGTGCTTCTGCTTATTTTTTGCAGATTAATAAACACAGAATTAAATAATCTGGGGAATCTGCAGAAAGATAGGATTTGAAGGCCATTTCCTTTTTGGCCAAACCAACAATAATCTTAACTTACTACACCTATTTTCTTTTATCATATAAATAGTGCCTTTTTTTTTTTTTAAGGCTACGCTATAACATTTTAGCCTTGAAATATATGCTACAGTGCTAATGCTGTAATGTTACAGTCTACAGAAATTATTTACGCTACAACATGGGGATCGATTCCGTGTAACAAAACAGCGTACGAACCTAACGTTTCTAATACAAAGACCTTTCCTGTTCTCAGTCAGGCGGTTGGCTTTCCTCTAGAACATCAGACTCTAACCAAACAACAACAACGTCAAGGGAGATCAAGTGAGAGATTCAGGATCATTCTACATCCACTGAAACAGGACACAAAAGAATAGAGACATCTCAGCAGAGGGGGGGAAATGGTTTCCTGTATGCAGGGCTCTTTTAGCTTTTTGGAACAGAAGAAATGGTGTATCGTTCATTATCCAGTTAAACTACTGCCTACTCAACCAGTTTCTCCCACATATTTTTCTGATTAATAACTAATAGTTACAGCCGAGTTTCTTAGGACAGAGTGGTATTATTACTGAATAATTAAAAGCTACTGCAGAGAATCTTCAAGAACGAAAAATAACGGGCCACCTCCAGAGGACGCATGCCAAGGATCAGAAATACAAAACTGACAGTCTAGGCACAGAAAATAAGAGATGCGAGCACAGCTTATGAACATAAGAACGCTGATAAACTAAAATTTACTTGAAGGATTTGTCCTTTCAGTATTCCTCTCACTTTTCTTCATGTTAAATCAAGGTGAATCTGGGGATTCTATAACAGTTTACAATATGATTTTAAAGAGAGAGAGATACAGTGGCTATAGTGTATTCAAATTGCCGTATCACCTAGAAAATTAATAATTATTTCAGCCACACAAAATAAAAAGATTTTACTTTCTCTGCAAGTTACAGAGTGTGGGAAAAGGTAGTTTCATTACCAGGCTTAATAAAAAGTCTGAGACTGGTGCAACTGTAGCAGAAAAATCTTGCAAATCAAAGCTTGCTTTTTTTTTTTTTAAAAAAACAGAATTAGTGATAATCCATTAAAGTGCTTTTAAGTGGAAAGTTATTGGGTTTTTAATTTACTGCAACTAGATGGTTTAGCCAAGGATCTGAAGTTTTAAAGAACATTCAGTTGTCAAGAGATGGGAGTAGCAAGGCACGCTAATACTTACTAAAACAAAAAACAGAGATTGGTCATATATATGCGTATACTTATATGAACATAAGCAATGCAGCACCATTATCTTCTCTGAAGAAACTCCATTCAAATGGAGAATGGAAGCAATTTATTTTTTGCTGCTTTTGATGGGGACATGCGTTCCTTTCACATTGAGATTCTCCAAAGAAACTCTGGGCTCCCTGGAACCCGCAACTGCAAGCGGTTTCTCTCTGAAACACACAACAGCAAAAAATCATAAGCAGCATACAATATGGGGGTGAGGGAATATACATTGTGCGAATTACTTATGTGGAGGTACAGTTATTTTAGTTGTAAAACAGATTTGACTCCCCCTCCAAAACTACTTCCATTGTTACCACCGTAGAGTTGGACTATTTCCTCATCTTGCACGCTCGAGGAGAAGAAAGAAACAGCTTAGTTTGAAAACTGAAATGGAAGGTAAAGTAGCCTCTGTAATAACCCTCTAGAGCTGAGGAGGTGCCAGAGGGAAAGCACTCTGTGTAGTTTACAGAAGAGGAGCGTTTCCCTTCCGTAGCATTCGCTACCAAACATGCAACTGATAAAGGCGTCACAGCTTCCACTGAAACTATGTCAACAGGAGGGGGAAAAAAAAAAAAACCCACAGACAAACAGCCCCGGAGCTTCGTAGATAGCAGCCTATGCAGGGGAGCTCCTGCGTTTACAGATAAAGTCCTCATTCCTACACAGACTTCCTGATTTTAGGATTAGAAGAGGCCTCATTTGAAATCGAACGCTGAAGAGAAGGGCGTGTGTCTCCAAGCGTATGGAAGGCGCCTGTCCTCTTACCCGAGAGAACAGGTCAAGCCAGCCCTCCATAAGGATGACACCTTAATGGCTAACCCAGTTTAACGGCTGTGGGGGGAGCTACAACATTTGTACGTAGTTGAGCTAAGAGCGCTGACATATTTCTCAAGAAAAAACACTCACCATTTTAGCCTATCAATTCCTTAAGTAATGTTCAAAGTCAAAAATACTGAATTTCTTCAAAATTTAGTGAACAAAATACTGCCTTACACTGTTTATTGTGGCATCATGAGAAAAGGAGGAATAGGACATGCTATTTCTCCTCAGATTGCCAGTAAGCATTGTTTGTTCATGAACAGATTGCTTCTGAATTGAGTTTTCATTCCGCTGCTAGCATTTCCTTATTCTGGTAGGAAGCTATTTTTACCTTCTTAATCCATCTTCCTTGGGTATGTGACGAATACTTCTGTATTTTGGAGCCTCTAAATTGCATCTAGTTCTAGATGGCCTGAACTTCATAATCTCTTTCTGCCACTCTTCATCAAAGGTCTGGGCCTCAGCTGAAAAACAGTTAAAGTTTACCTTTATTTTTAAAAAACACAAGCAAGATAGAAAAAAGACATGTAATGAAAATTAGGGTTTTTTTTTTTTTAAACAGTGTATTTTAAACTTGTGGTCCATGACTCTCCACGTGGTCTGCAAACTATTTCTAGGGGACCTCTAAAAGACAACTAAAAGCTTACTGCCAGTAGGCTTATGTTTGGAAGATAAAAAAGTCACCGTGTTGTAAAAGTATTTTAACCACACATCTCTTAAATATGTATTTTCTATTAGCCACAAACAAACATACAGCAAGTAGTAAAATTCTGTTAAAAGTTTGTTTGAACCATAAAATATCATTAAAAGTACTTTCAAATATGAGCAGGTATTGTACAAGCAAACAGTACCAACCGCATTATAATACAACATTTTAAAGTTTGACTGGTTACTTTAACTTAGGTTGTCCAAATTGACATCAACTAAGGAAACTTGATTTGCAGACTTAGCACTTTGTGAAAAACAGTCCCTTTTGAGATGTCTCAGGCTGGAACTGCAAAATTGGTATGTGAAACGACAGCGTAAAGCCCATTAGAGAACTGCATAAGACGACATACCCTCATCCAGGTTGATGAATTCTTGGTTCATTTCTTCATCACCGGTCTTGCTGTTCTTTGATTTTTTAATGACATGGGCACGATCATGAATATGATGACCAATAGCCATTTTTTCCAGTCCACTTTCAGAATCCTTAAGTGCTTTTCTTGTCTCCTTAACCTGCACAAAAAGAGGGAAATAAGTGTCCTTCCAACAACAACAAAAAATTGGTTTAACTACTACTATTTTTTTTTTTTTAAATCAAATTTTCTTCCCCGAAGTTTTTATGTCGCACTTTTGAAGAAGTTAGGTTTTACAGGCTTTTCCAATTGTCTCATTTACTGTGTTGGCTGAAAATACACCAGCAAAGCACAGATCAAGTCTATTTTCTTTCTGCCAACAGACGGGAAGATTAAACGAGAACACCTAAAGCTTCTTAAGTAATGTACGTACTGGATATTAATTGTCGGGGGAGGGGGGGAAAGCCTCGTCTAAATATACTACATGCAGACAAGTCTTCAACATTCTCCTTGACAACAGAATGAATAACAACCAATGCCAATATTCTCAGCATGAAGGGACAACTAATTACTAGGTTGTCGTGTTGACTGGCTTGAAACCCAGGCAACCGCTTATCACTGCGTTCATAGGTATATTATTAGAACCTTTTTGATAACTGAGTGTCTGCTTGAGCTTGAACATATCCCACAGCCAATCATGCTCAACAGCCTTTACTGCTCGCATATAGTCTTTCATGTGCCTTGCTTCAGGGTTCAAATTCAAATTTCTTAGCCGAATTAGACGCAACAGCTGCAAGGAAGTCAATGAAAGGGCATCTTCATCTGAAGCGTTACGTAAGCATTTAAAAGTGCTTGAGTAAAGGGGATGATTTGAAGCCATGTTTTGCATAAATAGACTGCCTCTTGCCGTCTTGTATTTTAGACAGAATTTTAGATGTACAAGAGGATTAATTATAGCAAAGAGAAAGATGTTGGAGACCGCCTTGAAGAATCAGCTGTTCTGGCACTCAGTTGTTGCAGTCTTTGATAGGCATACAATTTATTTAGATGTATACTTAGAAGCATACAAATTACAAGGAAGAAAACAGCACTTTAGCTTAAGAAGCCTTTAATATAGAGCAATATTTAAACAGACGTATATTTTTCTAAATTATAAGAGTAACTGTCTCCAGTAAAAAGATCCTGAAGGAAACTGTGGTTTGGTATAGATGAACTGAAATTCCGATAATTACATACCACCTTTTTGCTGCATCTCAGGACTACTTACGCCCCCTGGAGCTGTGCGTGTCTGAGCTGAAGCTTGGAAAACTTTTGGTGGTTCATTCCCTACTTTGGAGTACGTCATCACAGAGGAGGAGCTGAATGTGTGTGCATCTGGATGGATGGACAGGTCATCCTACAAGCAATGTAGACTTCTTTTATTAGTAAAAGTTAAAACTTGTGGGTAGTAAGCACTTCTCACATTCTGAGACTCTCTTATTATGAAAAAGAATACCCCTCTGAAAAATTAACCTTCAGTCCTGGCACCATAGATACGGCCTGTTGGGAGAGGACCTCAGCATTTGATATGCCCTCACTCTTGTCCGAGCCAGGGAACGTGACAGCAAATAACAAGCATGGGCAGCAATACTCAACTGCTCGAATGTTTGCCCTGGCACAGGTTAGTTTAGTAATGAACATATAACCTACTACATCAGTCTTGCCACATACGGTATAAAATAAGGTGTGTAAAGAGTTCAGGTGAAACAGAACTTGAGCAACAATGGTTACAGGCCATTTTACGAGGCCAGGAAAAGACAGTAAGTTACTCAGCGACACTTAATGGATATCAGTGTTATCTTCAAAGACTGTGAAGAAAGAAGCAGTGCTGAAAATAAAATCAGAGAAAAGTCTATATGCAGGGTGGCATTTAGGTGTTTGCGGTTTTGTTGTTTCTAAGTGTACAGTAACACTTTAAACTGCTCCTGCACTTAAGGTGTCAGCTCTGGCAACAGCCAGAGACCAGATAACTTACAGCAGTTCTAACCCCTAGAGAATCAAGTATATATTTAAAGTACTGTTGTTAGCGAATAATCAGTGACAGCATAGAGAATTATAACCACGATATAGTCTGAGGGGGGTGGAAAAAATTCTCACTGTCTGCTTGAGACCAGTAACCTTTTTCTTGGCAGGACTTTCTGAATAGTATTTTAAACAACTGTCATTCTCCAATACAATGAACTTTAGAACAAATTTTTAAAAACTTACAAATTTTCTTTGCATTTCCAGCATACTGTTTCTCATATTTGACATCATCCTGTCCATTGCAAAAAAAGGTTCCCCAAAATCTGCATCCTGCTAAAAAAGACAAGACATTAAAATTAAAACAAAGTCTTCTGACTCTTCCAAGTTCTGGAGCTGTTTTTTTACATGCATTTTTTAATGCAAGTCAGACCATCAAACAGGTTTTCACAGACTGCAATTCACAGACAAGCCAAAATGCATCTTTTCAAATGAAAAACTGAAAGCCAGCATGGGGAGCTTGTTAAGTTGGAGATAGTGGAAAGACAGAAGTGAAAGATTTGACATTCCAATGTCAAAATAAGCTCACATTGCGTCCAGTTTACAAGAACTATTTTCATATACCTTCTAACCTAACTAGCTTCTGCTGTAAAAAGTACTGTATGACCCTCCATGCCTTATAATCTATTGAAGATCAAGTTATCTCTATTATGCAAATCCCTTGATGCGTATGTAATCACTCTGAAAACACATCCCAGCAGAGATAGCTGTTCCTTTATGAGTAACGTGTGCTACTTCTGCAGAAGGGCAGCGTGGAAAAAACCAGAGAACCATAACTTGGTATTTTAATAGCAGCTTAAGTACTTGATGCTATAGGTGTATCCACAAAACATTCGTCATTTTTACATGAAAGCAGAAGATCCACTTGCACAAAGGACAGATACTAAGACAGGGTTACATGCACAGAATTTTATCAAGTAGGATCTGTAGCTGATGGCATATCCTGACCATACCGATGAAGAGCTACCTTTGGATGAAAACAAAAAAAAAAAAAAAAAAAAAAAAAAAAAAAAGAAGGACCAGAGACAGGGAGACAGAAAGTAAGGAAATGGTGAACTCTAAGTGACCATCTGGGAAGACAGCGATGCTGTCCCAAATGAGCACCCTCCTCTGGGCTCCTCTCCAGTGCAGCAGGTGGTGATGATAAGGATGATTTTTGCCACGCCTTCCTCTCCTCCTGTGAACTCGTCCTCAGGACCCATTCAAACTCCTTACTGGGCTGCCTGGCTTCTGACCTGAGCAGCTCTGGTTGGAGTACGCTACTTAGGAGCGACCACCGCGCACTGCTTGGCTGGCGAGCTTCTAGACACACGCATGCCTAGCTGCTTCCCAGGAGAGCTGCTGTGCCGCCACCACGCTCTGGTGCGCAGGCGTGAGACTGCGAGAAGAGCAGGGAAAACAGCTCCCAGGGGCTCTGCAAAACGCAGCAGCTTTGGCAAGAGGCAGGCTGCCCGGCTGCACGCAGCAGCCCTTTGCACTGCTGAGGTGCTACGGAACAGCAGGATGCGAATTACAACAGCAAACACCCCACAAGTTCCTCCAACTACTGGAAATATATCCAATTAAATTTAAATAAATTCATTTAAATAGCTACGTAGTTAGAAGTTTAAAAAAAAAAATCCGCAGTTTAAGCACAAAACTAAGTAAAATTCAGGTTTAGAAAAATCTTCAATTTGTTTCTTGAGTAGCAAGAAATGGGAATCCTTTAGGGCTGTCAAAACCTCTGCGCAATAATTATAGACAATTTAGGGCATCAAATCATTGCAAGTGTCAGTAACTCCAGAAAACTGCCTTCTACGGTTAGAAATCTGCACACTGACCAGCGATGTTACATAGTCATCAGCTGTACCTATGGAATTACGTGCCATAGATTGGGGTGGGGGGAGGAAAACCATAGCCTGTGCAGTTAATGGCAAAAGTAGTAACGCTTTTTGCATACAGAAAGTTTTGTGCTTCTGCAAAAGTAATACTTTTAGATCTGAAAATTCAAAGGCCCAAGCCCATTTTTACCCGCTCCACAAGTGAGACCCACTCTAAGCTACTGGTTTTCAATCTGAGGCCTCTTTGAAGCCTTCCAAAGGAAGGCAAAAACCTCCGTGAGGGTCGTAACAATAAACTTGCTTTTCCTCAGGTACTTTCTACAGATCTTTTACAAGATATTCCAGACTCCCAACAAACTACAGCTGAAAAACATTCCAAGCCCAGCTCCAGTGGAAATTCTGTCTCCAGCAGCTGGCCGCTCGTAGCTGTGCCCGGTGCTACAGGTCTTGTCGGTAGCAAACCCACACTCCAATCCATCTACATGCAGCACTCGGTTTGGAGTTTCTCTCCAGAGATTATTTCATTTATATCCTTCAGAGATCAAGCACCAACGGATACATCACCGAGCAGAAAAGCCAGCTGATAAGCAGTAACTTTTCCAATCTTGGTATCAGCGTATTTAGTCCACCCCTGCATTTTCATTTAACAAGGAAAAATAATAATAATAAAAAAAAATCTTTCTTGAATTATATTGTTCCATAAATTTAAACACCAACAAAAGCAGTTTGCAAGCATACTGAAACTAGCCTTTGTCCATGCTTTAGTTATGCAGACAGTATGCACATACGAGCAAGAGCTACAAGGATTATTGCTCCTGGGATACGAACCACTCTACCAAAGCCTGCAAAGGGCACGAGGGAGCAGGTTGTTGCCTGGAAGAAAAAGGACCAGTGTCTTTAAGTTATTGTACCTGTTACCAGACACAGCGGAAGTATCTTGTGCACCTTCATATAGAGCGGGTGATAGTAAACATTTCTGATCAAATAAAAACAGTCACTCAAGAGGACCTTGGTAATTTACAGTGAGCTACGACAATATAATATGAAGCGGTCTCTGGGTATATAGAAGTAATGATACAGGAAAGCCATAACTGTCACCACATTTAATAAGTCATATTCATATATATGTACTACAAGCACTTAAAGCTAGAAGTTGAGAAACATTTGTATACCATAGCAACCTTTGTACTAAAATTATTTAAAAGATGGCACAGTGCTTCAGACATCACCCACTTCTCTGGAAACACTTCATTCTCATCATGCAATAGAACCTCATCACTGAGAGTTGATGCAAATCAACAAATCAACAGTCCCCTTAATGTAAATTTATGTAATTAAATTTCAGAAGGTTGTCACACAATTTTAGAGCTTAAAAAAAATTAAGTGATGCAGCTGACCTGTTCACAAGCACTCTTTATAGTCACATTAATCTCTTGTAGTACATAAGATATTTCTTTAAAATATCCATACATTCCTTGCGATAAACAAAATAAAGTCTAACTTGTCAGTGGTTTCAAAGGTCATTGCAAAGAAAGTCTAGCTAAATCTATCATCGTATACAGAACCACCTGAAGACAAATCCCCAAGAGCAATTATATTCTTCTGCAGTTTTATAAATAGATGTAGCTATAAACATCAGCAAATACAGTTCCTGTTTGACCAACTGATACTGAATATCCCTATATGACAGGGCAATGAGATGCTGGAAAACAAATTGGTGTTTCCAGGAACTAGGACTGGAGCGTTACATAAAAGCCTACCTAAAGAAAGACTCGTTAGACAGAAGTACCAAATACTTTACAGTAACTTCGAAGTACAAAAGGAAGGAATTACTCAGTTCTTAAATACCTTCATGAACTCTTTCAGGTTTCAGTTCTGTCTAATATGCAGTAAGAGAAAAGAATATATATATATTTTGAGATACATATATCAAGTGCAAAAGGATATCCTCAGAAATAATAAACTTTTAGTCATAAGAAGTTTATAAACTCTTTGTTTTATAATACATACTCAAAGCTGTTAAATAGTTGCCTAACATGCAGGACAATCAGATATCCAAATAAACCCAAAGGGCTGTATCTCTTAAGATGTTTTACCCCATTCCTCCTGCTCACATCCTTTCCTCCTCCTTCCCTCCCTCCAAGAGGCTAAAAACTGACACTGCAAACCTGCCTGAAGAAGGAAAAGCATTTTCAAATTCGAATGCTGTGTTGATGCACACTGAGTTGTTGCAACAAATTCCGGCCCTTGTAAAGCGGTTTTAGGCATGCTATAGCTTACTTAAACATAGAATTACAATATCAGTATGGGTAATTTTAACGAAGTGTATTTTACATGGTAGTAAAGATATCCATCTTTTCCTACATAAAAGTCTAATTATTTTAAGTGTTAGAACCATTTCTGGAGGGAAACCAGTAAAAGCAGTTCGGGACTACTACAAGGCTCACTCAAATAATCAATACTGAGCCTTCTGTGGCATCTGACAACTCTTAGGTGAAACAGGAGGAACATGAAAAGATACAGGAAAGATTTTAGCAGGTGTGGAATTCTTTTGTGCTTATCAAAATAATACAGCGCTCTTGCACCTTTAACTCCTTCCTGTAACCACAGCTAAAGGTTTTCTATGCCTCACATTTATCTCTCACTGCCAAGAACAAAGGATACAAACCCCCAAGATATTAGGGTGAGGTTTGACATATTCTTTTTCTAAAGGAAAAAGAGGTCTGATCTGTTTTTAGGCATCTAGTGAACCAAGGCCTAAGAGTCTGCTTCAGTAGAGGAAAGATCACGCCCTAATTAGATCCAGCAACATCTATATTTGAAACTAACTGGCAATGTATGAGCACGGAGGAAAGAATCTGACAGTTACCCTTTTGACTTGTAGGTGACAGTCCGCGTTTCAGCGATGTTTATTAAGCTCTAACTATCTAGGTTTGAACAGCCACCACCGAATCTGGCCGAGTTCCACAAGCCTTTGTAATCTGTTTTGTCTTCCAACTGTTTTTTTTTTTTAAATCAAATGTGACTTATTAAAGTAAGAGATCATTCAGCTGCAAAAATATTTAGCCTGGTGGAGGGCAAGGAACCAACTTCAAACGTATATCCTTTCTAAATACAGCAATTAGATAAGGTTTAGCTACAGAAGCATGAGATATAATTGTCCTGCATGCCCAGAGAGTTGCAAAGATACTTTATGTAAAACATAGATCATTGCCAACTTCTCAGTTTCAGGTGGTAATTTACAGAAATACAAGGTTTCGTATCAATTTCCCTGATCTGTAACCTTTAGCATCTTATATCTAGAGGAAATATTAAAAATCGGACCAAATATAGAATGCGAAGCCTTTATTCACAGTTGCAAAGTTGGAGCAGGGTTTAAAATATCTGTGTAGATACTATTTAGGTGGCTGAAACACAGGTTTGGCTTAAATCAAACTTCAACATAAATAACTAGACACAAGATATTAAAGTGCAGAGTGAAGGCATAAACGTATCAAGGTACCTTTTTTAAGTCAAGTTAGCATAAAAAAGGAACTAAGTGTTCAAAGAAGGCTCTGTCTTTGGACACTTTTAATGCCTTTCTGCAAGAGGCATTTAATACATGACATTTATTAAACCAAACATTTGATAAATGTTTAGTTTGTTTCATTAAATATTGTATATTCAATGTTCTATAATATACAAATTTGTTATTAGTCCTAACAGAAACAAGTTTGTCAGTGTTATGTAACAAATGCTTAAACAACAGGCCATTAAGGAACCAAAAGAGAGATTATTCCCATTTTACTCAGCGATGAAACAAGCTGACCAAGGCTGCAATAGCTGAGCCAGGCCCCCGTTTCCACTGGACCAAATTTAACAGAAATGGAAATGTGAAGCCGACTATATTACCGGTAAATGTAAATTCCGTGTAGCAATCCTTAGAGATTAAGAAAATACTTACTCTGCGATTTCCTCTTAGAGCAACCTGAGAGTCCTGGCGCGCTCTTCGATCTACTGTTCTCTCCCCACCATCTGTTATGCTGAGAAATGGATCTCGTCCAAAAGGATCAGAAAAGCTTCTCATCATCTGCCGCATATATTCATGGTGTGCAGCAAAAGGATCACTGAAAAAAAGAAAAAAAAAAAAGATATTTTGCAGAGAAAGTCATCAGGTTTTATTCCAAGCTATGTAAAACGGCTCTGAAATTTCTAAAACTTGATTTTTTTAAATCTTTCCATATGGTTCTTTAGTCAAATGCTTTATTTTAATAGGACCCAACTGGACAATCTCTTGTTCCTCACAAACTCTCACTTCTTTCACTTCCCATCTCGCAGGCTGGTTGGGTGCTGTAGTTCTTTTGTCTTCTCAGCTGCCTTCATTGCTCTCCTACACCCTTGCGTGTCTGTTTTGCTTTTTCTCTCTCCTCATCTTTTCCAAAAATATTCCATCTTTTGCAGCCATCTTTCACTCCAGCCTATGTTTACTATCTGCCAGGAACTAGAAAACTAACCTGTATTTTATTTATCACTACTTTGACCTCCAACCCCTGATATTAAAAGAATTTTTTTTCCCCCTCTCCTTTTTTCCCTTTCAGCTTCCAAAGCTTAGCACAGTACTACTCACTGAACTCATCATGTCTCACTAGATTTCCCCCCCTCAAATTTATTTCACTGGCTGCTCCCATTCTGCTTTTCATTCCCCTTGACCCACATGCTCAAAAGTGCCTACCATCCTCTAAATACAAGCCAGCTCCATCTCCTTTACTTCAGTCACCCACTGTTGCATCTTTGCCTTCCCTTTCCTCCCCCTCCATAAATCATGTTCTCGCATCCCATTTCTCTGCTTCGGAAGAAAGATTCTTACTGGCTTTTTGCTTTCCTGATCGTTTGCCCCCCTCTTCTCTCCTCTTTCAAAAATACTCAACCTCTGTTTCTAAAACCTACAGAACCCCACCAGTAATTCCAAAGCTTGGCTTGCAGGTAAAACATTGCTAAAGTTGCTCTCCATTATTACTTAATTCTTTGCATTCTCCAATTTGGCCAAGAACTGAAGATTTCAAGCAGAGGCCAAAAGAGGAGCAAAATATATTGTGCTTCTGACAAAATCATATGATCAGTACTAATGCCTGCGGTCCGAGGCTACAAATTATTACTTCATACAAGAAACATGCTTCATTTCCTCTCTTCATCTCCAGTCTGATGTTCCCCAGAAAGCCACTTTATTAACGTTACCAGTCATTTCCCAGGTATGTTTACTTAGACTTAATAGCACCTCATCTTCCTTCCCATCAATTTCCTGGCACTCCCCAGACTCCTCACACCCTCATTCTCTCCAGGACACCGCAACCTTTCCCATCACATCTCATGCGTCCATGAAGAAACGCTTCAGGTTGTTCCTCCGACTTCTTCAAGACCCAATCATCTCTTCAAAGTCTCCTGAACAGCTTTTCTCTTCTCCCCACCCCTTATCTCCAGAGTCCCATGAAAACTAGTTGCCATACCACGTGGCCACTTTGATCTCTTCGCTTTGTACTGTCGCTGCTTGTGCTAAAGTTGCATTTGTTTTTTTGCTTTTTAAAGTGAAAAAGAAATAAGGTTACAAACATAACACTGGATTAAATTTCAAACAAGTTTGTTTTTTTTTTTTAAACACAACAATATACCTCTAAGCCACGCACATACTTCAGTCCAGTACAAACAGTTTAGAAATAGTTTTACCATTGCCATTAGCAGAGCCTAATCTACCCCACTCACAAACATAACGCTGGATTAAATTTCAAACAAGTTTGTTTTTTTTTTAAACACAACAATATACCTCTAAGCCATGCACATACTTCAGTCCAGTACAAACAGTTTAGAAATAGTTTTACCATTGCCATTAGCAGAGCCTAATCTACCCCACTCACGTGACGGCTAGCTTTAATTTCAGTCCTAATGCGATAAGCAGCTCGCACGCAGCAAGCGTCCCCTCACTTTTCACAGGATAAAGAACAGATGGAAAAAGTCGCTGCGCAAGCCAACATGAGGGAAGCACGCACGCACTACCACAGTATATGCATACTTCCATCAAATCTATTTTGACACCACAAATTTCAGATAGGTTTGGTTATCAAAACACAACCAAATTCCATCAGAAACTTAAGGCATAACAAAATTTCTTCCCAGGCCCTCCCAGTTCAAAAGAAGTAGGACACTCTTAAATCTACAACACATAAGCAAAACAAGATTTCATAGATTTAATGTAGGTAAGAAAAATCGGTTGAACTTAGCGTGCTTGACATGCTGTCATACAGCTCACCTGACATAAAATAACACTTCACACCTTGTGTCCTTTTTGCCTTATTTCAATTTCTCTGGCAATTTCTCTTGGCCATTCACCCTCTGTTACACCTATTTGGTACGCTCATACCTGCATCTAAAACTGTGGGGGTTTGTTGTGTCTTAAAAAAAATGAAAGGTCTGTGAAACAACTTAGAAACACAGCTTCTTACTGTCAGAGACAGGGAAGGAAGATACATACTGTGGATGACAGATTTAGGAACAAAAGTGAAGTCTCCCAGCTCCCTAGGGACATTTTAGGGAGCCATTCATAAAAAGATCTAGTGTTGTCAAGCCTCGAAAGAAATACTACAATTTCAGTATGCTCTGGAGTAGGGCAAACCCAATGGAAAGTCAAAAGAGAAGCTGTCTGGAAGACAGAGCTTTCAAGGATTAAACCTACCACCATGATGGCTCAGATGACTGAAATGCAAGCTGTAACTACAAAAGGACTATGTCTCCCTCACAAATATATATA